GGGGGCGGGGGGGAGCCCTGAGTGTCTACGGGGCGAGTCAGTGGAGTGAAGCCTTTGCCTTGTAATCGAGGGTCAGGTTGCGCCCTGGCTCCTTCCTGCCTCGACTTCTCACTCGACCTCCTTTGTGTCTCTCCGCCAACGTGCTCCTCTGCAGACCCAGCCCGTGTCCTCAACATGCCCCCTGTCATTTACGTCCCCGTGGGAATCCACGGCTATATCCGCTGCCCTGTGGACGCAGAGCCGCCGGCCACCGTGGTCAAGTGGAACAAGGACGGCCGCCCCCTGCAGGTCGAGAAGGTGCTAGAGAGATGCATGCCGGGGTTCAGAATGAGAGGTGCCCTGTTGGTACTGAGGTGCTACCTCTGGGTTGTGGTTTGTCTGCTGGGAAAACAAAGAAGTAGTCCTCAGGGGTCTCCAGGTTGGTGGGGCTCCTGGGTGCAGAGGACCCCGCTCCCTAGGCAGTAGCTGGCATCCTGTCCAAGGTCCTGCTGGGCCACACAGGTACAGCCTGGCGGGTGCTGGGACGAAGTGTCCACCTCCTCATTCTTGTTCCCTGCTCTGTCATCTGTATCGGCAGAACCTGGGTTGGACTCTGATGGAGGATGGCTCAATTCGAATCGAGGAGGCCACAGAGGAGGCTCTTGGCACTTACACCTGTGTGCCTTACAACACCCTGGGGACCATGGGCCAGTCTGCCCCTGCGAGGCTCGTCCTGAAGGTGAGACTGCAGGGCTGCACGACACTGCGAGTGTGGCACCAACACGGATGCCCGCCTTCATGCATGTCTGTGCTGCCCCCAGGACCCCCCATACTTCACGGTGCTACCAGGCTGGGAGTACAGGCAGGAGGCCGGCCGGGAGCTGCTCATCCCCTGTGCAGCCGCCGGGGACCCCTTTCCTGTCATCACCTGGAGGAAGGTACCTGGGCTGCAGCGCTCCTGGGCGTGGGGCAGTGGGGAGGCCAGTTCTATTCAGGTTCTGTGGCTGCTGGGTGAGGGCTGAGGGCTCAGGTTGCCCCTCCAGCCTCCTCTCAGACGCCGCCCTCACCTCCATCCCTGTCCTGCCCTCTTGGCCAAGGTAGGGAAGCCCAGCAGAAGCAAGCACAACGCCCTGCCCAGCGGGAGTCTCCAGTTTCGCGCCCTGAGCAAGGAGGACCACGGGGAGTGGGAATGTGTCGCCACCAATGTGGTCACGAGCATCACTGCCAGCACCCACCTCACTGTCATCGGTGAGTGGCCGGCGGGGCAGAGAGCAGGACGCTGGGGGTGTTGCATGGCAGCTGTCCACACCCCGGGCATCTTTCCCAAGATGGCGTGTCCCTGAGCCTAGTCCACCACATGCGGCCTCGCGTGGGGGCTCAGGGCAGGTCACCATGGCTCCTGTCCACAGGGAGCCCTTCTTATGGGGACTGCGTTTAAGGGGCAAGTGGAGGGACAGGACTGAGGGCGACTTGCCTAGGTGGCATCAGAGGGTCCTGGGCTGAGGCCTCTGCACTGACCAGGCAGGAGGAAGCTGCCAGGTGTGCTCTGGACCTTGGCCTGTGCTGCCGTGGCCTGTCCCTCTGGGTCCTGGTGGGCACATTTGTGACCACAGCCCACACTTGCTGAGGCTGTGCCAGCAGCTCTGGCCCCGCGCCACGGGTCTGCACACCTTGTTTCCGGTCAAGGAGGTGGCAGCTGGAGCACCCCAGGTGACATTAGTGTGAACTGAGGCAGGTGGGTACATCCCTTGCACAGCGTTAGGGGCTCAAACCAGGCTCATGCCCCAGCAGAGGGTCCTGGCCGCTGTGTGGTGCTGCCTCTCACGACAGAACCTGGCCATCTCCTGGGCAGAGAGCGTTGCAGGGAAGGGTCCTTTGGACCACCTGCCGGACTTTCAGGGAGTGTTTCTGGCTCGCCAGTGGAGCGCAGGATTCTGACCTGGGCCAAAGAGGGTCTGACTCCAGCTTGGGCCAGAGGGCTGATGTGCACAGGTGCCTTAGCTGGTGGGCGGGGCCACGCAGTGGGCGGGGCTTCCCGTCCAGCCCACTGAACTGCAGGCAGGAGACAGCATCTGAGCAGCCATGGCTGCTTCCCCTACAGTATCTGCATTTTGCTACACTGTGGCTCAGCCTTTCTGGGTTCCCCACAGCAAGAACATGGGTACCCAGGAAATGGGCTCAGTTCTTTTCACTCTGAGAAGTCTCCACTTGGTCTCCAGGCACCAGCCCCCATGCCCCGGGCAGTGTCCGGGTCCAGGTTTCCATGACAACTGCCAACGTGTCCTGGGAGCCAGGCTATGATGGAGGCTACGAGCAGACATTCTCAGTTTGGTACGGACCTCTGTGAGTCACCCCCGCATGCTTTGCTCTCTGCTTCTCCCCCTCCCCGCCCGACTCCAGGCCACCCCGGGGTGGGAAGTTAGGAGGAGAAGTGGTTCTGCACCCGCCAGACCTGCAGACAGTGAGGTGGGTCCAGACAGTGATGAGGTGTTCCGGGTCATGCGTGGTGTCTGTAAGGGATGCCGGGCGCCCGAGTCTCCAGCCCTGAAGCTGAGGGGCCTGTGTGGGCTGCTGGCCGGGATGCCCAAGACCCTGCTACCTTTCCCCAGCTTGTCTCATGGTCCCCGTTTTTGTGTCCTGCTTCGTTCTTCTCGATTCCTCTGTCCTTTGGAGTCTTAGAGAGACTCCTAACCCTCCAGGGCTTGGTGACATAGCTCTGCCTGGAGTGTAGTGTAATTTCCATGTGGTTCCAGAGAGCAGCATGGACGAGCCATGCTCACCTTCCTGGCCTTGTCATCAGCACTCGCGTGCTGTCTTCAGGACATGCGCTCTGTTACTGCGGTGGTCGGTTAATTATTAGCACAGTGGCTTGAGATATTTGCCCAGACCTTAGGCAGAGATTTCAAAAATGCAGGAACCATAGTGCGGGCAGGAGACACGGAGAGGTGAGCAGAGAAGCTCAGCGACCTCCCTGTGTCACCTCAGGGCTTCTCTGTCCCCACACTCCTGCCCTGAGCCAGGGACTATGGCCCCCTGGACTGTGTGTGACACCTCGGAGTGGGGAGGATCAACCCCTCACCTCCTGCTTTTCAAATCTGGCTCAGCTGGGCATGTGTGTCCAGCCAGGCTCAGGGTGAGGAAAATCAGCCTCCTGAGGGGACTCTGGAGACCCTGGATAGAATTCTCAACAGCGAGGGGAGCTTAGGAGGGAATCCTGCCCTGTTTCCCACCATGGCCACTTGGTGGCTGTTTCCCAGGTGGAGCGTGCAGGGCCTTTTAAGCTCTGCACCAACACGGCAGGGGTTGTTTCCAGAACACCCTCCCTCCTCCAGCCCCTCTTCTTTCCGCGGCAGGGGGTGGGTGAACTCCTACCGACCCTGATCGGTGGCCACTGCGAGATCATGGGGTCTGCATGGCCAGGGCAGGGGTGTTTGGTGTGGCCGAGCCACCTTTGGGGGTGCCTAGTGGAGGGTGGGGGTGTGGGCACAGATAGGGCCTCCCTGCTGCGTGGCTGCTCCATGCACTGCTTGTCCGCGTCACGCAGTCACATGTGGCTCACTCTCTTTGGAGCCCCGGGCAGGGCAGGGTGGCGACTAAGGTTGGGGAGGCCTCTTGCTCCCCTTCCTTTCTGACTGCTTCTAGCTCTCCCGACGGACTCAGACACTGGGTACTAGCTTTCGTCTCTTATGCTTTCTGCTGCCTCAGCTCGCCTTCCGGGCATACACAGCAGGCAGCCTTTCAACCGCCAGGGGAGCCTGCCGGCATCCCATTTGGGGTGCAGGACTGTGTGGAGGCCAGTCCACAGGACGATGTCTCCTCCCGGTGGCGATCTGGTGGCATTGCACTTGTGGCTGGTGGCCTCATGGCCTATCTGGAGTTGGAGGGGGCCATAGAGCAAGGGAAAACCTTTACCCCTCCTCTCAGTGCCCTCTACACACAGCGGGAACTACCCCTGATTGTTATTTCCAACCCTCTTGGCCTTCGGGGCCCTGACCCCCCGCGAGGGAACCCCTGGGCATCCTCTGCTGACCCAATCTGATGGAACCCAGAGAGTCCTCCAGGTTGCTCTGGTCCTGCTTTTGGCTGTGCCTGGATAGGGTGGGGGGCAGCCAGGGCCACCTGGGTCCCTTTCTTGATCCTGCCAGGGCCCGAGTGGCTCAGCCTGACTCTCCAGGGCCCTTACTCCCTTGAGGCTGGGCCTTCTCTCAGGCTGTGACAGACGGGATGCTCCCACAATGCACTTGGGTTGTGACCACGGTCTTGAGTGTGACCTACTCCTCAGGGCCCCTGTGAGTAGGGAAGGTTCTGGCGATTGCTGGTGTCCAGCATGGTGAAAATCACCCGGTCTACACTGGGCAGGTTATCCCCCCTTGGCCGTCCCCTCTTCCTGCCCTGATCCTGGGACTGCCAGGCCTGCCACTGCCTTTCCCCGGAGGACGTTGTATGCACTGTCTTCTCTCCAGTGTAACCCACCCACCCCCTTGTCCCCTGTCCTCTCTCTTTCTTTTGGTCAGGATGAAGCGGGCGCAGTTTGGGCCCCATGACTGGTTATCCTTGCCAGTGCCCCCGGGCCCCAGCTGGCTGCTGGTGGATACCCTGGAGCCCGAGACAGCATACCAGTTCAGCGTCCTGGCCCAGAACAAGCTGGGCACCAGCGCCTTCAGTGAGGTGGTCACTGTGAACACTTTAGGTGAGAGCGCATGCCGGGAGGCCCCGAGGCCTTACCTGGAGGAGCTGGGGCTTGGACCTGATGAGAGGGCGGGTCTCAGATTGTCCCTCACCAGGCACCTTGCTAAGAGCTTACATCATCAGGGTGCTTGGTCCCTCAATAGGGCTGTTCCCTGCTGGGAGGTGTACCTGTCCCGGCCCAGAGCACGTCTGGCCAGATTCCTGTTGCATTCTTAGATGGATAGAAAAGATTTTGAACTTCTGTTTTATTGAAATAATAATAATAATAATAATAATAATAATAATAATAATAACAACAGGATCTCACCTGGTCATGATCCTGTCTCAGCTTCCCAGTGGGACTGCAGGCTGCAGGTGCATGCCACACCACCTGGCTCCTTTTCTTTTTGTTTATACAGAGCCTTACTGTGCTGCCCAGGCCAGCCTTGGGCTCACCATCTTCTTGCCTCAGCCTCCTGAGTTGCTGGGATTACAGGCATGTGGCAATACACCCACCTTTAGGTTGGCCTGGGAATCGAACCTAGGTCTTCCATGTAGCCCAGCCTGTGAAGCAGTGTCTCAGCAGGGCATGCCACCATGGCAGGGCCAAGGCTTTGAGTTTGATCCCTCTTTGGCAGACTGCATGTTTGCCTCTTCTGTGGCCTTCTGAGGGGCTGGGAATACACCCTCCTACACTGCCTGTGCACTGCCTGCTGGTTCTTCCTCCTGAGGGGCCCTGCCCTCATTCAGTGCAGGCGTGCAGCCCACCACTGTGGTCTTTCAGCACGAGCCAATCCCTCCCTCCTGGGCCTTGCTATCTGTCCCTCCCCGCCCTGCCCGGCTGCAGGGCCAGAGAGGGACCACTTCCATGGGGCCTTGCCAGGTGGAGTGGGGCGCACGGCTCAGTCCATACCAGAACCCTTTCTCGTGCTGCTGTCAGGTGTCCATGGGGGCTGAACACTCCCCAGCCAGGGGCGCCCTGCTGCGTCTCCTTCTGTACCCCGACTCCCTGGGCCAAAGAGGGACTTGTAAGAGTGAGCAGTGAGCTGCAAGATTGTCCTGGTTGCTCGGGAGAGAATGAGAGAGGCTCTGATTGCAGTTCATTCTTCCTTCTTTCTTGTAGTTTCCTTTTGGGGTATGCAAAAGGAACCTCACAAAGTTCATAGAAAATGGAATTCAAGTATAAGTTTATTTTGGTGCAAAAGCGTTTGGGAATCCATCACAGTCTTTTCTTCTTTTTCCATGAGTGTTTTGAAGCTCCCATGTATTGGGTCATTGGAAAAAGTCATGACATACTTTTTAATTTTTCTATACAATATGCATCATGACTTTTCCAGTGACCCAATACGTGTTTCCCACCTGCTTCTTTTCTTTTTCTCTAAACTTCCAGAGGGTGTGCGCACTCACTAGAGACAGAGACAGTGAGAGAAAGTGCCCCGAAAGCATCTCCCTTGGCATGCTGACAATAACCTTCTCTCCCGCTGCAGCATTCCCTATCACAACTCCAGAACCCCTGGTGCTGGTTACCCCACCGAGGTGCCTCACAGCCAACAGGACCCAGCAGGGCGTGCTCCTGTCCTGGCTCCCGCCTGCCAACCACAGCTTCCCCATCGACCGCTACGTCATGGAGTTCCGCGTCGGGGAGCGCTGGGAGATGCTGGACGATGGCATCCCAGGCACCGATGGGGATTTCTTTGCCAAGGATCTGTCACAGGTGAGGACCTTGCTTGTTCTGACCTCTTCTTCCCAAATTCTGGAAGTGATACTGCTTCTCTAGAGCCACTGGGCGCTTGGAGTGACCCCATTGTGGTGTGAGAGGCCAGGCTGTAGACTGTGCCTCCCCACTACATGCCTGGGTTCTCCAGATCCACTGTTGTTCTGGTTCGTTCTGTTGCCAATAACAGAAATTACCTGCAAGTGGGTCATTTATAAACATGGAGTTTATTCAGTTCTGGTGTGGAGGTTCGACCACACTTGGTGGAGGTCTTACAGAGCTAAGGCATCACATTGTGAGGGGCAGAGTGGAGCAGGGCGGCCATGGCCATCAACATTGTCCTGGTCTCATTCCCTCTCCTTAAAGACCCATCAGGCTTCAGTGATGGGAGCCCCACCCCAACGACCTCATTTCTAATCTCCCAAAGGGCCCACCTTCCAACACCATCGTCGGCTAAGCTTTCACCCTCTTAATTCCATCACAATTAAATGCATGAATTTTAGAGGGGGCATTGAAACCATAGTCGCTATCAAGGTATGGGCTCCTCAGACCATGCCTGCATTTCGAGGTCCAGACTCAGGGCCTGCTTGGTGGCAGGAAGGGTTTATGTGACATGGAGAGTTTCTCCTGAGCTCTGAGGTGAGCTGGGTCATTGTGGTCTCCTCAGCCCCTTGCTGGGTCTCCCTGCCTCAGGCTTTAGAGATCCCAGAAGAACTGTGGTCTGGGTGTGCCCTGGGAAGGACCCCTCCCTTAACCATCTACAGCCCCAGAGGAAGATGCATTATCTTGTTCCCCAGCTGAAATCTTTAAATGTTGATGTGTTTCTCTGGCTAGGAAGAGAAACTAGCTTGTTTCATAGATATAATCTCATCTATAAGGACATCTCAAAAGGTTCTTGGAAAAATGGAATTAAAGTATGAGTTTATGTTGGTGCCGAAAACACCTATGGAAATCCACGCATAGTTTTTTATCATATGTATTTTCCATGAAGCTTTCAAAAACCCCAGGTGTCTTTCTGCCTTCCTTGCCTGGAGGCCTGTCTGGGGTATATTGGAATCTACTCACAGTGGCTCTTTTGAGAGCCCGTTGTACATATCTCTTTCCAACTTTCAGTAACCTCACATTCTGAGCTTGAATTCAGCAATGAGGGAGTATTTACACCACAGAAATTGGCCAGTGCTACCGGTTCACATACCGCTAAATACCTAGCAATCCTCCAGTGCCTTGGGTGCCCTGTTCCATGTGCAGGAAAGGCCCTGAGCAGGACCCAGGATGCTGGGCAGTGGTCATCTCAGGTCCTCAGCTGACTGGGTGTTGTCCCTGGGGCTGTAGGACACGTGGTACGAGTTCCGAGTTCTGGCCGTCATGCAGGATCTGATCAGCGAACCCAGCAATATCGCCGGCGTCTCTAGCACAGGTACTTCGGGATTGGGGGAAACACAGAGCTGCATGGGAGGGCCTTTGTGAGACAGCAGTACCGAAGGGAAAGCTGGACTGGAAACTAAGGAGGTGTCTGGTTGAAACTGCACACATCAGAGCCTTTCTTTTTTTTTTATTTTTTTATTTTAAGAGAGATTTTTTTTCTATAGGGCACGTGTGCTCACCAGAGGGACAGAGAGAGCAAGTGAGAAATCATCCCTTGGGAGATGGCCACACCACAATCCCTCCTCCTCCACTCTCCTCCTGGGATTTTGGCCACGCACGCATGTGCACCTGGCGTGAGTTTTAAGCCGCTGGGTCTGGGACTTGAACTGCAGTTGACTTTGTGGGAGTCCAGCAATGAAATCATTACACCATCTTCTGGTCCCTCAAGTCATAGCATTTTTTAAGCCTGTCAGATCCATGCTCCCATCATGCATGGTATTTTGTCCAACTAAAGATTTGGGTTTCTGATGGTTCCGGAAGATGGCCAGAGAAAGAAATGCAGCTGATCTCTCATTACAGTAGTCGAGGACTGGATTCAGTTATTTGCTGTGCGTTCTCTGTTTCTTCCAGAGCTGTGTTCTGTAATGGGGATGGGGCCCTGGGGTGGAGGGAAGAGGCAACAGGTCAACAGTATTTATCAAATGCCTATTACAGGCTCCTTTGTAATTACGTGGGTTTTATTTGGAAAATTGCTGTTTGGTGTTGTTTTCCTCCCTTCCTTCCTCTTCCTAGATTTTTTTTCAGGCTAAATAAAGCTAACTCCCTAGCATTTTCTCCATTTATCTTTCTCTTGGCCTTGGTCCCATTTCTTTCTTTCTTTTTTTTTTTTTTCTTTTTAAAGTTTATTTATTTTTTCTGTGAGAGCAAGAGACAGACAGACAGAGAGAGAGGGGCAACACAACAGGGTCTTCACACTGTGATGTACACCAGCCTCGGTCAGCCAGATCCTGGCACACATGTGCCCACCTGGTGGACTGAAGGACATGCATGTAGAATGTTTCCCACGTGGGTCCAGCTGCGTTACCACAGCCTTGGCCAGCCAGATCCTGGCACACACGTGCCCACCTGGTGGACTGAAGGACATGCATGTACGGTGTTTCCCACGTGGGTCTGGCTTAATTACCACAGTGCTCCCAGCCATAGCCCTGTCCCCTTCTACACATATCTCCAGCTATTGTTCCTGCAATAGCAATGTCCCTGTCCTGGGGGCAGATGTCCTTAGTGTGGGCAAGGCTCTTGTTTAGTAAGCAGGCAGTAGTGCTGCTCACAGAGACCCCTGGGGCCAGGTGGCTGGGATCTTGACCAAGCAGCTAATGCAAAAGGACTTACAGGGTTACAGCACTGGTGTGGGCAGACGGTGTGGGTGTGGCGGGCGGTGGTGCTGGAGTGGCATGAGAGCCCGGGGGTTGGGAGTGGAGTGTGGTTTCTGTCTTCCATACTAGGCAACGTGACAACATGAGGGCGTTTTAGAAAACAGTTCCCTCTTGTAGGCAGCAGAACCCAGGGTAATTTCCCTTGGCTTCTCTCCAAGGAAGAGACTCTCAGAAATGGAGGAGCAGGCAAGAGAGCTTGCAGCAGGGCCTGATCAGATCTGAGCGATCTGTGGGCTCCTCTCAGTGAATTCTTCTGTCCCTAGAAGCTTTGTCCCTGGCTCCCGAGTTAAACCATGCATCGTCAGATAATCTGCATAGGGAGAGGCGCGGCAACCTCAGCATTCCCTGCGTTTAGGTCCCCAGTTCTGAAAGCCGTAGTGTTCATTATCCACTCAACCAATCAGCACAACGGGGATTATTTTTGTCTATTACAATTATTGACATTGCAAGGAATTCTGGCCGAACATATTACAATACATCGATCTTCCCCGGATGAACCCAGAGTGGCACTTACTGATAGAACTAGGAGTGTAATACAGCTCTACTTCTGCCTCTGTCACTAACTAGCTCTGTGAATTGAGCACCAAGTGAGGCTAAGTTCTTTCTCAAAAACCAGAGAACCAGACCCATCTCTACCACCCCTGGCCTCTTGAGCATCTGTGCCTGAGATGGACAGGAAGGAAGTTGCATATGGGTACCAGAGTGAGTTTAAAAAAAAAAGGGGGGATCTGAATTCTATAGTGCCAGTCCTCCCTATCATGGTATTCCTGGTAACCCTTTCCTCTGAGCTCTTGGTTTGTAGGGACAGCGTCATGGAAGGCAACAGATCTGTCCCTAGAAGCTTTGTCCCTGGCTCCCGAGTTAAACCATGCATCGTCAGATAATCTGCATAGGGAGAGGCGCGGCAACCTCAGCATTCCCTGCGTTTAGGTCCCCCGTTCTGAAAGCCGTAGTGTTCATTATCCACTCAACCAATCAGCACAACGGGGATTATTTTTGTCTATTACAATTATTGACATTGCAAGGAATTCTGGCCGAACATATTACAATACATCGATCTTCCCCGGATGAACCCAGAGTGGCACTTACTGATAGAACTAGGAGTGTAATACAGCTCTACTTCTGCCTCTGTCACTAACTAGCTCTGTGAATTGAGCACCAAGTGAGGCTAAGTTCTTTCTCAAAAACCAGAGAACCAGACCCATCTCTACCACCCCTGGCCTCTTGAGCATCTGTGCCTGAGATGGACAGGAAGGAAGTTGCATATGGGTACCAGAGTGAGTTTAAAAAAAAAAAGGGTGGATCTGAATTCTATAGTGCCAGTCCTCCCTATCATGGTATTCCTGGTAACCCTTTCCTCTGAGCTCTTGGTTTGTAGGGACAGCGTCATGGAAGGCAACAGATCCTGCAGTGGGAGTGGGAACAGCTGGGTCTGATTGGGGCCCTAACAGCGGAGTCTGTATAAACAAGTCGCTCAGACGCAGTGAATCACAGTTCTTTCATTAGAGAACATGAACAATACGTGTGCTCTGTCTACCTCATGGGGTTCCAGTGAGAAGATCTGGTAACATGCACGAAAGTGCTTGCGAAATGTAAAGCAGTAGATAAGTATAGATCATTATAGAAACGGTGATCCTGTGGGGATAAGACATAGATGTTTTTCTTCTTTACAAGCTGGGTAGAGATTACTTGGCTTCCGTAGACTGTTCCCTCCGCTCCCTCCTTGTGCTGCTGTAGAAAGCGCTTCCACGTGTGAGCTGAGCATGGAGCCCGCGCCTTAGCACAGTCAGTCCTGCAGAGTTAGGGCAGAGGACTGGGACCCTGTGCCACCCAGGCGCGAGGCTCAGAGTTGTTCCCGTCCTCCCCGCAGACATCTTCCCGCAGCCGGACCTGACTGAGGACGGGCTGGCTCGGCCCGTGTTGGCTGGAATCGTAGCCACCATCTGCTTCCTGGCAGCTGCCATCCTGTTCAGCACCCTGGCCGCCTGCTTTGTCAACAAGCAGCGCAAGCGTAAGCTCAAGCGCAAAAAAGGTGGGTGGCTGCTCCCTCGCCGGCCCTACCGGGCCCAGCTGCATGCGCTCCCTTATTGAAGGGACAGACCCTTTCGGAAGTAGCACTGTGAGCTCTGGGTAGCACTGTTGGGGGGCCTTTGATTGGAAAGGGGGAGTGAGGAGGCAGGGATGATGGGAGTGTCTGATGGGGCCTAGGGCTGGGCACTGACCCTGAGCTAGGCCCAGAGATGTAAACAGGAAAGCAGCTCCCTCTGTGCCTTTGCTCTGGCCCCATGGGCCCCTGTGGAAGAGGAGGCTGAGCTGTTGGCTCTGGTCTCAGCAGGCTCTCCTTTCTTTCTCCTGCAGACCCTCCGCTCTCCATCACTCACTGCAGGAAGAGCCTTGAATCTCCGTAAGTGTCCTTGACCCTAGGAGGCCATGCAGTGGCTGTCCATGGTCTTGGGTGGGCGGTGGAGTGTGGACACAGGCAGACCTGGCTCCGCCCATTTCCGTGTCTCTAAGCAGTTGACTGCTACCCCATTTGCATGCTAATTTCAAATTGTCCACACCGAGAGAGGGAGATAAGTGCTGTTTCTTTTTAGCCTTGGAATGCATGTCTCCGTTTTTTTTTTTATCCTAACAGATTTTCCTTCTTAATATGTCTTACTTAAGTCAGTATTCAAATGAGCTTGCTTGTCCTGAGCAAGCCAGAAATGAAGTTGGAGGTGTGCTTAGAGAGTGTGTGCCCAAAACAGGGGCAGACCAGAGGACAAGCAGACCCGTGTGCAGTCATTCACCAGGAGGGCCAGCATGTATGTGGCAGCAGAGATGACCAGAGCTTTCCACACCAAAACCTGTGGCTCCTTTTCCTTAGGGTTTTGTGGATTCAAGGATTGGTTTTGTGGATGACAATGCTTCCAAGACCGAGGGGACAGGGGGAGATGGTTTATGAGAACAACCTAGATCCCACGCTGGTGCAGTTCCCAATAGGGGGTCATGCTCCCAGGAGAACCTGGTGCTGGGGCTGACCTGACAGGGGGCGGAGCCATGGGGTGTGGCTGCAAATACAGATGAAGCTTCACTCGCTCCCCCTGCGGCTCAGGCTCACCTCCTGCTGTGCAGCCGCCAGTTCCTCTAGGTTGGCCCTAGGTGACAGGCGTCTACTAGGAGGCTGGCATGCACTCACCTCACCCTGCCTGCTCTCTCGCTTGCCCCCAGCTTGTCCTCCGGCAAGGTGAGCCCTGAGAGCATCCGCACTCTCCGAGCCCCATCTGAGTCCTCTGATGACCAGGGCCAGCCCGCAGCCAAGAGGATGCTGAGCCCCACCCGGGAGAAGGAGCTGTCGCTGTACAAGAAGACCAAGAGAGCCATCAGCAGCAGGAAATACAGCGTGGCCAAGGCCGAGGCCGAAGCAGAGGCCACCACGCCCATCGAGCTGATCAGCCGAGGCCCCGACGGCCGCTTCGTGATGGATCCCTCTGAGATGGAGCCTTCGCTGAAGAGCAGGCGCATTGAGGGCTTCCCCTTTGCAGAAGAGACAGACATGTACCCCGAGTTCCGCCAGTCAGACGAGGAGAACGAGGACCCGCTGGTGCCTGCCTCCGTGGCTGCCCTGAAGCCCCAGCTGACCCCTCTGTCATCCAGCCAGGAGTCCTACCTGCCACCACCAGCATACAGCCCTCGGTTCCAGCCACGCGGGCTGGAGGGCCGGCTGCAGGCCACAGGCCAGGCCAGGCCCCCGGCCCCCCGGCCCTTCCACCATGGGCAGTATTATGGGTACCTCAGCAGCAGCAGCCCTGGGGAGGTGGAGCCGCCCCCCTTCTACATGCCGGAGGTGGGCAGCCCCCTGAGCTCCGTCATGTCCTCCCCACCCCTGCACACCGAGGGTCCCTTCGGCCACCCCACCATCCCTGAAGAGAATGGAGAGAACGCCTCCAACAGCACGCTGCCCTTGACTCAGACGCCTACAGGGGGGCGCTCCCCTGAGCCCTGGGGCCGGCCGGAATTCCCCTTCGGGGGGCTAGAGACCCCGGCCATGATGTTCCCCCACCAGCTGCACCCCTGTGATGTAGCCGAGAGTCTGCAGCCCAAGGCCTGCCTCCCCCGAGGACTGCCCCCCGCCTCCCTGCAGGTGCCCGCGGCCTACCCGGGCATCCTGTCCCTGGAGGCCCCGAAGGGCTGGGCGGGCAAGTCACCTGGCAGGGCCCCTGCACCGGTGCCCCCCGCCGCCAAGTGGCAGGACAGACCTATGCAACCTCTGGTGAGCCAAGGGCAGCTGAGACATACCAGCCAAGGTATGGGCATACCCGTGTTGCCTTACCCCGAGCCGGCCGAGCCGGGGGGGCACGGCGGCCCCAGCACATTTGGGGCCCCTCGGGGGTACGAGCCCCAGCCCCGGCCCCGGCCCAGCCCTCGGCAGGCCAGGCGGGCCGAGCCCAGTTTACATCAAGTGGTGCTACAGCCTTCGCGGCTCTCACCTCTGACCCAAAGCCCCCTCAGCTCCCGCACCGGCTCCCCGGCACTTACGGCCCGTGCCCGGCCTCGCCCGGGCCTCCTGCAGCAGGCGGAGATGTCTGAGATCACTCTGCAGCCGCCGGCCGCGGTCAGCTTTTCTCGCAAGTCCACACCGTCCACGGGCTCCCCTTCCCAGAGCAGCCGCAGTGGGAGCCCCAGCTACCGGCCCGCCATGGGCTTCACCACTCTGGCCACAGGCTACCCCTCCCCCCCGCCGGGCCCTGCCCCAGCGGGCCCTGGGGACAACTTGGACGTGTTTGGACAGACGCCTTCCCCTCGAAGAATGGGGGAGGAACTGCTCCGACCAGAGCCCCCTGCAACAACGTTACCTACTTCAGGGTGAGTGTGAGCTGCTCCCTGGCCACCCTCCCTGGTCAGCTCCGTCCCCCATTCCTTGCCCTGCCCTCCACCCCTTCCATCGCCCCTACGACAGGGCTCGTCTGGACATGCCACAGCATCCCTTCAGGAGAGGGTTCGGGCCGCTGGCGCCTTGGCAGGGAGTGGCCCCGGGGGCGGGGTGGGGCTCACCTGCCCAGGTACCCTGCCAGGGGCAAGCGGGAACTTGCCCACCTAGCCCCGAGCTCTCAGGAGGACCACAGCATACAGGGAGCGGGCGCACCTGGGGAAGGGGACGGGTGCGGCTTCGCATGGTCGGCGGCCTCTGCAAATGGTCACCCTGTGCTCTTGGAGTTGAAAGTGCCCCACGTTCCTGTGATCTCGGCTTGGGGTGGTGGTTCTTGGGGGCCCCACAGATCTCGTGTCCATCCTCCTCATTCCTGGTCCCTCCTTGCTAAGCAGGGACTGCAGCCTGACTCTCCCCGACCTCTAGTCCAGGATCCCCCGTTTCCAAACACCTGCTCCTTAGTGCCAGGAGTGAACCCTGACTGCAGTCCCTCACATGGCCTGTCCAGGAGAGGGGGTTCCTGGAGGCCAGGAGGAGGGCCTCAGGCCTTGGGAAGCGTGTGCTTGGAGCCACATTCCCCACCCCACTCGTGTGCCTCGCAGGAAGTTGCAGACAGACAGACAGACAGACAAGCTCCCGCGACCAGCCCGCCTGAGAGAGCACACCCTAAACTGTAGCGGCTGGTATTCCAGGTACCAGAGCCGGCCTGCACGCCCGTCTGGGCCTCTTCTCCTGTCTTCCTGCCCCTCCTCTCCCGTTCCTTCCCCTCTCAAGTCTTTCTCTGTCTCTTCCTTCTCCATGGGCTTTGGAGTGACCCGACTTGTTCAGAAGAGCCTGCCAGTCTCTGCAGTGCCCCCACGCCCCTGCCCTCCTCGCCCTCCTTCCCTGTCTCTCTCTCTCGGTCTCTCTCTGGTCCGTCCTTTGGTCTCTCTTCTTGATGTAGCTGCCTGTGGAGGGGAGCAGAGATCCCAGAGGAGGCTGACCTGGTGGTAGGAAGGATGGGAGGTGGTCGAGGAGGAGGAGCCAGCGCCCTCCCCGCCCCCAGTCCCTCCCACCCTCTCTGGTACCTGGAAGTGCAAGCTCACCTCCCACCGTCCTGGGAGGAGCAGGGGTGCGGCGCAGGGAGGGAGGCGCCGGCCGGCCAGGGCGCCTGGCGTGCAGGAGATGCTGTCGTCGCAGCCCTGTCTGTGCTTCGTGCCGCGCGCCCATCTGCCTCGTTCCATCGTGCGTCCGGCTCTCCGTCTCTCTCCTCCTCACCCCATTCTCTGGCCTCCCTGTCTCGCTCGCCGTGCTCCTCCCCTGCTTCCCTCTGGGTGTGCGTGGGCGGGCCCCCGCGGCCGGTGTTGGTAACTGCTTTGTTTCTGATTACCTCAGCTATCTGGGCAGTGTTGCCG